AAAAAGAAAAACTCAACCTTTCGGCTTGCCCTTCTTCTTGGCTCCACGTCCCCCTGATCTGCAGGGCCTTGAAGGCACTGCTGGCTCAAGGGTTGGGCTCTTGCGATACAAGTTCAGGTAAGGAGCAAGGGATGAATTTGACAGAGACAGATCTGCCAACTGTGCTAAACCGTCGTTCAAATATATACGGGCGGTACGGGCTGCTGCCCACCGCCCCTGGACAAGGAGGGTGTCGAACGATCCGTGATGGTTAAAGTGGAACGTCGCGCCACCACGTCGTAAACTGTAAGGTCTAAAATGTTGGTCAGTGAGGTGCAATGCATCAATGGCCCGAGCAAATAATGCTCGCCAAGCATGAGGTTTGAGAGTTAAAAAGGCTGTTGGAGAATTGGACTGCTTCCAACGCCACAAAGCTGGGAGGATGGACTGCTCATGCAGGGTTACACTTTCGGCTGCTCCTTGGCGTGCGCCTCCCTTAGTCAGGCCTAAGGACAGCACGGCCGGTCCCTTCGGCCCAGGGATGAACACATCCTTTGCCCGTAGGCTCAGAAGTTCTCCTGTGCGCAACAAACCGAAAAATGCGACGCGCAGCGACAAGCCGAAGGTGGGGCAGTCGTTAAAAATTGACCACCCACAGAGAGCATCCAGAACCTGAAGGGTTAAGGGCGGCGCCCGATTCGGTATCTCTACTGATGTCCAGGCTTTCAACAACCGCCAACTTGCTGGAAGCTTTCGCTTGAGAGAGGGATCACGGTCCTGAAGAGCTGCTAACGTGTTATTGGCAATCGACTTGCCTTCGCCTACCGCCCACAGATGTTCAAGGTAGTCACTGACCAGGCCATCGAGGAGGTTCTGCCGCTTTGGGAGGACCAATCCCTCCCCTGCCAACCAGTCGAAAAAGCGGTTTAAGCAGTCTGTATATCGTTCTCTTGTGCGAGGTTGAACTGTGAGCCCTTTGAGTGAACCTAGCTTGCTTCGGACTTTCTTGCGCTCCTGTTGACTCCTACCTTCCATCACTTTTGTGGCCTTTTTCCCCATTTCCGATGTAATGGTCTTCGCGACGGCCGATCGGCCGGGTTCTGGTGTGTGTCCACGTAGGCCCACACACCCACAAGCCCACTTGCCAACTGAAGCGCTCCAATCCTACACAAGGTTCTCCTCAAACGGCGGCTCGACGATCTTCCTCTTGACAACGCATGCAGCACCACAAGAGAATCGATCAGATGCAAAAAACGGCAGGCTCCTTCCTCAAGCTCTTTCAACCTCCAAACTATGGCTGTTTTGACTGCGCGCAGCTCCAAGGCGTTGATGTGTTCCGCATCACCTGTCCAGCGCCACCCTGCCACATCCTTCCATCGCCAAAGTTTGCTGGGAATCGAAGCTCGCAACCTGTGGTATCTTGCTGGGAGATCCGTGCCCAATTGAAGCAGGATGTCTTCTCCCTTGACAGAGACTTGCCCTAACAACCGCGGCACCAGCCCCACTGGAGGCGCCCCCGCCTTGGTGGTTTGGCGAAGGGGAGGTCGGAGCAGGAGACTTGCAAGGTTCTGTTCTTTCCCCGGGGTCAACCGCAAGACAAGCGTCTCCACGTCAAGGTCGGGCAACATTCCAAGGGTACGAAACAGGCAGTAGAGCAAGTAGACGGCCACCGGAATCGACCAACTGTTACCAAGCAACCGGAGCCGACAGTCATTGTGATCTGGCTTCCCTTCCATGCTCTTGACCATGCACCGACGGGTATAGTCCATACAAAACCCAAGAATGGCCTCCCTCTCCTTGACTGAAGGAACCCGATGTTCGCCTGCGCGGTTCACCACACAGTTCTCAGCACGGTATTGGTATGGCGGGAACCGGTGTAGGTCCGCTTTCCACCGAGCGATTGCATCCGGGGGACACAAACTGAGTCCTGCGGGCCGGCGTCCCGGCTGAGGCGACGGCCTAGCAGTGGTAAACGTGGGAAAGGGACTGTCCGCACGAACACGGCGCCAGCCAGCCTCCAGGAAATCCTGCTCATCCACTGTTGCGACCAACTCAACGCGCCCCTGCACTGGGAGAGCACTTTCTCTCCCCTTGATCACTGTGGCTCCGGGCATGCTCCAAGGATCCCAGGTGCACCAGTACAACCTAGGCCGCCTGGCAAGACTCACCTGACCTGCGTCTACCAACCACGGCGTAGTCTCGTATGCCTGCGACATGGTTTCACAGTCCTGGACGTCCATCGAAGCGACATTCTCAACAAGGCGATGAACCGGGCACCAACTGAAGTGCTTGCGAATCAAGGCTTCGACCCTGGGGATATGCTGGAAAAGGCTAGATCGCAGATCTCGGAGTGCCCCCTTCCGATCGACGTTGAGTCCGGAAACGCCTTGACACGGTGGTCCAGCTCCTAAAAGCACAAGTCCTACGCTGGCAAAGCGCAACCTCCATTCAATCACATGCTCCTCAGTGATCGCGGCAACATCTTCAATGCAGACGACATCCGGAAAATACGACTCCACCACTCGGTTGGCCTCGGGCGAAATCTCAACCGACACATATCCTCCTACAGGCACACGCAGCGCATCCAGGGCAACCCGCAAGGCACCTATCCCATCAAAGAGCGACACAACGAGAACCTGGTCTATCTCCTCCGGCTCAACTGCATCTCCGCGACACTCTGCCTGACAAGCCGCTACCCCAAAAGGACTAAGCTCTCGACTGACGCACAGTCCACCTCCGGTGGTAGATGCATCACTGGCTGTGACCAGTTCCGAGGTACTCAGTCTGAAGTCCATGTAGGCCAAGGGGGTCAAAGCGATAAACCTCAACAACTCAAGCGCCACCGCAGTGGGAAGGGGTCGCCTACACCTGGGTCCCCACTTGCTCAGCTCAGTCACTTGTCTCCAGATGGCATTCAACCCTGACAGCAATGGTCGCCTGAACATCGCAATGTAGACGAAGCCTCCACCAACTACCTGCAACTCACGCTGCGACGCTTTCCCGGCAATGCAGAGCTCCAAGGAACCTCACATACCTACCTACCTTGTCCGCTTTGGGGGAGGCACGGCCCAAGTCTCCATCCACCCAGGCCCCCTGTACTTCAGCTTGCACCTGTTGAGTGACGCCCTTCTTGGGATGACGTGGGAGACCCAATTGCTGGTAGGTCTCCCTTACTGCCAGAGTCCAGGCTGACGGAGTTCCCTTCAAGGTCTCGGCAAGCGCCCTATCCACTTTGTGCAGCTCGTCATAATTGTCAAGGTACACACGGTACTGATGAGGGGCCGTGCTCTGATGACGATCGCGGCGAATCTCCTGTTGTCGGCCTGCCAGTTGCTTTTCTCCTCCCAATGCTTGCTGTATGACTCTGCGGTGCACATGCTGAGCAATCGCCACGGAGTTTATAAACCCCATGGGCAACACCCTACTTACCAAGTGCCAACCGGTGCCGGAGTAACCTGCTGGGAGGCCTTCGGGCGGAACCTCCCTTGCAAACCCCATGAACCGGTGCCATTCAACTGGAATCCGAAAGAGATAGAAAAAACACCTCACGTCTTCTGACGACGTGAGGAGGAGTTCTCCGTCATCTAAAACGGTGCCAGCCATTCCCGTGACCGTGGGGAGTGTGGATGTGTCTCCGACGAGGTTTCGACATAGACCGTTTGTTGGGACCAGATTCATGATCAGCCGGCATACCTCGAATTCTTCACCTTTGTCATCTACAGCCTTCTCTCCCTTCTCAACTGCAAACAGGCCGTTAAGTACAGGTCTATCACCAACATGGTAAAGCTGCTCTCTCTTCATGAGCCCACACACTCCCCGCTCGAGCAGTCCCAGGCACACCTCGGCCCAGTTCATCTGGCTCACCATCACGGCTGGCGTCTTTCCCAAGCGCTGATCCTGAGGCGGGAGCAGGAATTTCTCAAACTCAGCGACGTAAGAAAGGGTTCCGCCATCACAGAATTCCCCCAGGTCTAGGCTTCCTACCCCCTCAGGAAAGGCGGCGGCTATCATCTTCCACTCAAATGCTCGAGCAACGCGAACCTCCTCACCAGAATAGTCAATACCTTTTGTGGCAAAGAACTGATCCAGGCAAACTGGGGGAGCACCAACCGGGAAACCTCACTGCTCTCAACCACTCCTTTAAGTCTCTCAATGATCCTTTTCTGCACCTTATTGACCTTCTTCAGACCCTTTGATTCAACCCCATAAAGGCTGTTCAAACCCCTCACAACCAAATCCAACGTGGGACACGCTTTCAAGCACTCCTTCAACCCCTCAGGAAGCGGGAGAGGGAAGACCCCCTCCGTGGACTGCCCGCAACGCGTGGTCTGTGACAACACCTCCAGGGATTGAGAAAGTGCCGGCCC